ACTCAAAAATGCAAAACTTAATTTCAATATTTATTGTCCCAATATAGTCTTATGCAAAGGATGCTGGAAACTAAAAATCTACCCATGCAGTTTCAGATAATGCAACAAAAATGATTAATGTAGTCCCAACATAACTTAAGCAAACTTCAGTTTTACATAAGTGGACTGAACTCAATGAAATTTGGTTGTGATATAATGTTCAGAAATTGTGTAGCTTTACCTAATTTTAATTAAATAAACTGAACAAACAGCATATATATATATATATATATATAATGTATATGTGTGTGTGTGTGTGTGTGTGTTTTCCAGTGCATGACTAAACATTTTCAGAATACCCTGATACCAGTTACACTATGCAAAAACAGCATTTTCAAAAAGCTCAGATTTTTCTGGACAAAAATGCTGTCTCAGCGTAGACGGAATGTCAAAAAAAAATGTATACAGATAAATATGGATGTAGCCCAAATGTTATAGGTGCCAGATGCTGATGGATGATCACCATAGAAGTTCATGTTGTATTAGGGCCACTGAAAACATGTGTAAGCTAAATGTAAATGAGTTGCAGAAATAGAACACATACCCACACACACATGTAGAGTATATATAGCATATGCATATAATGGTTTTATGTGGGTAGTGGATTAAGATGAGTTCACTGAAGAAGTATAAGTATATAAGAAGCCCACTCGCGTACAAACAGTGTAAAGGTTATGCGAATATTGGATTGTGACGAGGTCATTGACATGGGGGAATAAAACACACACACACAACACACCCCATGAAGTACCGGTATACTACTATTGCACATGCCCCAGTCATTATATCTCCCTGCAGACAACCATAACCTTACGCCAGGAAGTGGTGGCCAATTTAGCCCAGTGACATAATGTGTTATGATGGGCAATCAAGCCTGACTTCTGCTGACTCCCCCATAAAGCTAATGAAATCAATAGCTGTGTGGAAACATGCATGCGCCTATATGGATTTCAGTAAGATTGTCATTCAACAAAATATTTTTATACCCAGTTTATGTGTTTGTCTCAAAATAAACAACCAGCAATTAAAAAATTGTAACTTAGATAATTGAACAAGGAACAGATTTAGTAATGATGACTTTCCATATTGGGATATGACCGTCAGCTTCATGAAAATAAACAAATTCAGACAAACACTGCATATGCTTGGCCTTTAAAGCTGCATAGCAATATGTTGACCCAGATACTGTGCTTAAATTTACCAGGCTGTAGTCTTGTTTACTTCTTATATTGGTTCAAGAAGAGCACAATCGTTATAATAGTCTTGTTAGCTTTCTACAGCATTCACTTTTTTTTTTTTTTTTAAGTTGTAAGTGAAACAAAGATTGTTGGGGTTTGTTTACAAGAAAATACTGTTTCAGTTTTTCTAATTTAAAGGTTCACATGTAATCCAATGCGTTACTAGCCGTTTCTTTATAATTATTTGTGAATTTACTAGCAATTTCTCAGTGAAAATTGTTTCTACACCATTTTTTATTACAGTGTATAAATCTATATGAATCTGCAGTATAGTGATCTTAATCACGCTTTCATGTAGTTTCTTTTTTTAATTCACTGATTAGATGTTGCAGTATGATGTGGTTTACAGTCTGCTACCCTATTGTGAACTGTGCCATCGTATTGAGTGTGGAGTCTGACTGTGCTGGGTTTGATATGGTAATGGTATTTCCCTGTGGGTTTAAAGGGGAAAAAAGGCAGTTGCTGCTTCCTGTGGAGATTAACCTCCCATTAACATTCACATTATTATCCAACCCTGCCTTTGTGAAACCCAACCTCCATTCTCAATAACAAAAAATAGTCATTTTACAGTGAATAACACCTACTGGGTTGATGTATAGCCTATTTATTTATGCATATATGCATTTTATTCAGCTGTGCTGTGAAAGTATGGTAAAGTATATATATATATATATATATATATATACAGGTGCATCTCAATGCCATTATTTGAAGGACTACCACATTTACGCTCCGTTTCCAAACAGTAAAAATGACAAATAAATGCATACTCTGAAAGCGCTCCACAAGCCGTATGATTATATTACTGGATGCTCGAAATTGAACAGGAGAATGCACTTTTTAAACAGCTTATTGTACAGGTAAGTTAATCGCCGTTCTAATCTAATGCGCTGCTGCACTGTAACGCACACACATAGGCTACAGATCTGTGATTTCTCAATAAAATAGCTTAGAAACTGAAAAGTTCAAGCATATATTTCTTAATAAATAAATCCCACAGCTTCACTACTAGTAGAGACGCTGCCAGGTAGAATTAATTCACACACACAATCGCTCTCACTAATGCATTCAAATGAATGTAATCTTTACTGTGCTACTTTATCTGTATCTGATTGAGAACGAGCAGAAATCTGTGAGAAATATAATGACCCAAAGACAAAAGAACTGATAAAAATGAGCATCTCAGAACGCGCGCAAATATTAAGCTCTCTGTGAAGTATTGTGTTTGAATGGACAAATTCACACAAAAATTATGTCAAAATGCCTGTCTTGGTGAGTATTAGTGATCGACCGATATTGATTTTTTTTTATAACCGATACCAATTATTTGCATGTTTATGTGCCCGATAACCGATATGCAGAACCGATATTTATTTACTGTTATAAAGCGGCTTCACGAGACTAATGATGAGCAAATATACAACAGAGAGAGAATTAAATTCAGCGGTTTTATTTCCAGCATGCGCTCATTCATGGCTGTATTATTTAACTCATGCAAAGTTATGTCTTTATTGGGAGAGGATCTTGACGGATTATCTACCTGACCCCGACTTCACGAGACTAACGATGAGCAGACAACAGAGAGCGAATTAAATTCAGCACTTTTATTTCCAACATGCACCCATTCATGGCTGCATATTATTTAATTCAGGCAAAGTTACGTCTTTATTGGGACAGGACTTGACGGATTATTTTACATGACTCCGTGAGTTGGTCTCTATTTCTTAGAGCCAAGCTGCATAAAC